GCGGAGGTTACCCGCCACGCATCCAAGAAAGTTAGATTGCGTTAGACGAACGACTGTTCTTTAAAGAAGGCATACTTTTGTTTATAAATAAGTGTTTTCTACATCGAGTAAAGAGTTAAAAGAAATAAGAAGTGCAACCTCTAAGTATTTTATGAGTGTCCTTTTCTAAAAACCGCTGTAATTTTGTCTAAAACAGAGACTTCCAAGTCGTCTATGTGGACCAGTGGACCGGTCTACAATTTTGAGTATAAGATTCAACTTCTCCTGCAATGAAACACATTTCCTTTCTGCTTTTGCTAAATTAAAAGAGATTTCCTATCTGATTGAGCTCGGAACTATTAACGTGAATATAAATTATTTGCTGGCCAGAAAATGTTTTTGTTTCAATACTACTAGTCTCTGATAAATATCCCCGCTCGGCAAGTAACTACTTTCTGTGTACTCAGCTTCCTCTTTAAATACGGTCATGTCATACAGTCCATCTGTTCGAGGTCAGATTCCTTCATCTTTATGTTAAGTGTGCGCAGAGGGATTATCGACAAATGCTTGGTACGTTTGACTGTACTTTCTAGCGTCTTCCTGCTTACCTGCGGATCCTTTTGGTATACATTGCTTAATTGCAGGCACTGTTCTATTAATTATAATTCTGTAGGGGGAGGGGGCCGGCTAATATTTTAAATATTAGCTAGCGACTCATGCGGCAGCTTTTCAGCTGCTAATTTCCGTGGACGCCTGACAGGAAGTTCGTTGACCATTCGCGGGTACAGTGGAACCTCGGTTAGTGAGTTTAATCCGACTCGCCATCGAGCTCGTTTTTCGAAGCGTAGCCAATCATGCGGCAGCAGTTCACTGATTAGCTACAGGCGGCCGGGGACCCACACCCTGGGAACAAGACTCGATGGCGGATACAGGCACGGGCTACTCGTTAAGGGAGTGGAAACTGGTCAATGGAAACACAGTTTCTGCGGATGATTCAATCGGTACGGTGAAATGGTCGAAGATGGAGCTGCTCGAGACTCGAGGTTCCACTGTACTTAAAACAGATATCGTCACCATTGACGTTTCTTCTTTTCACATACATATGTGCTCATTACCTTCCGAAAAAGAAGTAAATTCACTCAGCGTTTCACTCCGTCGGTTAGAAAACGGTAGTGATATTCACCTTAACTATGCTTGGAACTATACAAGCAGTCACATGGTGACCTGTAGTATATAGTGATAATGGTTGCTAGGGGCGACGACGGTTGATAATCCAGAAATGGTTATTCCGTCTCCCTGATATTTATCAGTTCCGCTTTAGCAAATACAATTTTCTGACAATGGAAGCCAGAAGGGTTCCGAACGGTTAGTACACATGCAACTACGTCCATGAACTTGTCTCTCTTCTTCAGGAAAAGAAGAACGCGATACGATATCTAGGCGTCGAATCTTTATGCCTATATATGTTGCTAAAGCGGAAATGACAAATGTAAGGGAGACCGGAATGACCATTTCTGGATTATCAACCATCATCGGCCATATCAACCATTATCACTATATACTACAAGTCACCATGTGAATGCCTGTACAAATCCAAGCATATTTAGTTAACCCAATCTTGAAAAAACTCGCGGCGTCGGTGGGAGTCGAACCCGCATAGGAGGGAAGGCCTTTACGCAGCCAAAGCTCTTCCACTTGAGCTACGACGCCACGCAGTGAGCCGTGACTTTAAGCACGCACTTTATCAAGCATAGTTAGTCTGAGCATCAGTGCCGTTTTCCAACCGATATAGTGAAACGCTATGTGCATTTAATTTTAGGGTCAGATCGACGAAGTGGGGAGAGTTAATGAAGCTCCAATTTTAATCTCCATATACGCCATCACCGCTGTATATGCTTACGTAGGTTGGACAATACGTTTTCGAAACGCAGGATTCAAGCTTTCCAACCGAGATTGGCAGACGTAAAAATAATCAGATAATGAAAAGTCATTACCAACTCGATGTCAATTAAAACACGCTGTTACTGGACCGACGCTGGCAGACGGATGTAAGAAGACAACAATTCGCTAAGAAACGGGCATTATGGGTGATAGAGCTCCATTAATGGCTCATTTTGGATTGACAGGCATTCGTATCCCGTGGCCGCTTTGGGGACCTGACAACCCCGTAATGGGGAAGAAATGCAGAGCACATAAGCCTCAGGCTTGAGTGGGCCACGTCGTCCTATCGACTGACTGGGAATCTCTGCATATTTGCAAATTTCACCCCCAACTAACCCTTAAAAAGGGATTCAGAGCATTTACGCGTGTCGAGATGGGGTTGTCTTTGGTTTACTAATCGTGTGCCTACTTTTCACATTATTATTATTATTCTGACTGCATGCCTGTCCTACGTCCGACAGTTACCACCTACCATCAACAAGTCTCTAAATTGTCGCATAGCAGAGGCTGTTTGGCATTTAGCTGCGCACTTAACTGCAAAACAAAGTCCAACCATCGA